AACAAATCTATTTTACATTTTTTTTAAATCAGAAGTATAGAATTTTAAAATTTAATGGAGGTTTCACTTCCACGTTTGTACTATGGCGGTCATACAATTGTTTTCTTATCAATACAAATACAGTTCAAAATTATGATCCTATAAAAGAATTACTTATGTTATAAATATTAAAGGACACCCAAGGCGCTTCGTGTTAACGTTTAAAAACAATTCTATTCTCTTCTACGCGCTATTACAATTTAATTTCATTCCTATTATTTGAAGCAGACGATGACAGAACATGTCACCAAGATAATGCCAACAGACTACAGCTAAATACCGAAGATCTTTCTCCCGAAATAGAAAGAGGGAAGGCAAGGATTCAATCCTTTAAGATGAAAGGAAAAGCATCCGGAACTTGTTACGCACCGAATGAAGTGCAGTTTCTTATAAATTACCATTTTATCGGTCTTCTGTGAAAATGTGATTCTACCCGGTCTGACTCAGCCCAATAACGAACTGCAGTCTAATGGCTACAGTTAGTTACTACAAGGACGATAAGAAAACCATGGGAAATACATAAAAATTAAGAGGGAACACTGAACCAAGCCTTTTAAGTCGTGGTAAACACCTATTGATTATATAAAAAAACTAGCAAACCCGGCGAACTTCGTTTCGCTTCCAGATGGCATCGTTTTATGTAACAATTCGTTTGGTGATTAAAAGATGAAGAAAATTTTTTTCCTGATTTTTTTTTTTTGCTTTAAACTTCACGGAGTCCGAGACCTTTCTAACGAATGCAATAACGTGAATATCGGTTCGTGCGTTCTGTAGTTATACCGTCAGGAAGGTAAACCCGACTTATTTTTAAATAAAACTAGCAAACCCGTCGAACTCCGTTTCGCCACCAGATGGCTTCGTTTTATGTAACATTTCGTTTGGCGATTAAAAGTGAATTTTCTTTACTATAAACCTTACGGAGCCCGAGACCTTTCAAACGAATGCAAAACCGTGGAAATCGGTTCGTGCGTTCTGGAGTTATAGCGTCAGGAAGGAAAACCCGACTTATTTTTATATAGTAGATAACCTTTTTTTAACATTTGTTATTTTTGTAAAATCGAATTGATAAATCTATTGATTGTTTTACATCCGAACTTTAAATATAGTAACGCCAGATAGATAAGTTTTTGGAAATATATTAGAAGAAATTTATTTATATTATACAGCGACTAAACTTACTAACTCTGCAGCTACCCTTACGACGAGAAATCTTATAAAAATATCGGTGAAATGTACGGATTTCATTAATGGTACATTTAAGCCTACTACAAGTATACATCAATAATATAGCCACTAATGAATCGACGATTACGATTACGATAATAATATATGCAACTGCATAAATGCTAGTTAAGTAATAATGATAAAATATGATTGTGTTTTCACATTGCCAACTTTAATATTTTGAAATATTACATTAAAATAAACTGCTTATAAATTTATTGGATATACACAGAAGATTAAAAACGCCTATGTATAATATCAAGTTCTATAATAATAACATTACTATGACGAATGTTCACGAATTTTCAAGGAAGTTTATGATCAATAATTTAAGTATGTACATTAAGACTACATGGGCACTGGCAGGTGTAATCTTCAGTGCTTAAAACCTAGTGAGCAACCTAATCTATTCGCTAGGTAACACGGTGCCTGCACTGAATAGTGCTTTGTGTGATGGGTCGCTTGGTGCCTTGATCATTAGCTTATTTAGTATGATGCAATCGTGAAGCCACTTCCAATAATAGCTCTACAACTGTTAATTAAAAAAATATTAAAATGTCTATATACACTCCCACGGTCTTATCCATATGTCGGTTCCATGATGTATTGTCAATGTTCTTTATAAACAAATTTTTATTTTTGACGATTTATTTTAGGAATATTTATTTATTTATGAACAGAGAAACATTCAGTTTATTTTTCAGTAAACTTAAAGCAGATTAAAGTAATTGCAGTTGCTTTCAACAACTATCATCTTCTAGTCGTAACATTTACAAAAATTCTAGGTATACATCACAAACCCGGAACAATTGTTCAATCAAATCCACGACAACAATCAAACCTACGACATCAATCAAATCCACGACACGTACAGCGGCCACTTTTGCTCAACCACTACGCCTACCGTGCATTATTAATGTACTTCTTTTTTTTTTAAAGTTGCCTCTCGCCTTGTCTCGCTTACAATGAACACGTTCGTTAACACACCAAGATATTAGTTAGGCCCCAAGCGTAGAGTCATAGAGCGTTCGTTATACTACGCTACTCACTAGGTGACTTAGTAGGCTTTATGCACCAGGCACTTACTGCCTGTGCAGACGTAGCCTGACGTAGCCTAAAACATCTAAGTATATTCTATATATGTATATTATAAAATATAGTATTATTTCATAAAAACCTAAGACGCGGATAAACCGGTAAGAGTTCGATTAATCTTTTTTTTACTTACAACTATCCATAAAGAATAAAATTATTTATTATGAAAAAACTTGCCTCATTACTAGTAAGATATTCCTACACACATTGTACACTGATAAAAGTCATTGTGGCTTACGGGTTAAGGTACCCGTACCTTTTAAACTTATATTAAAGATTATATTGTTAATTGAAATAAAAGAAAACATCCTAAGGGATTAGACTTATTATCCTTACTATCCATCGTTAGGAAGGATAGCTTATCATTCCCACAATTCCTACACTGTGGAAGCAGGTAAATTCAATGATGAACATATATTATATGTATATATATATTGTATTGTATTCGTTGTATATTTCGACTCGTGAGAGTCGGTATTTCGCTAGGTTTGGTATTTAGCTCGCATGTGGTTGATGTAACCTATTTTTGCCACAAAAGATTTCGTAAAACAAGGACATGTTATACATATATTTTGAATAGGTGAGTCATTTAAATTTTCTCCTTTTTAAAGATGAAGTCAACATTATGTTTTAAAGGCCTTACTGAGCCTATGGTGGATAGAAGAGGGATCGTCCAACTCAAAAGATACACTATTCCACTCTTAATAGTATCGTAGCAGCACCTTGTATTAATACATTTTTTTATAAAAGTAAAATGTTTCTATCACTAAAACTGATCAAAATTTTTATTCAGTTAAAGTGCAATTCACTAGTATGTAAGTAAGATACGATTTTGATTTAACCTTAACATACTACACAGTATTATTAATATTACTGCAATAAGTTATATAAAGTATGTCTACTTTGCAATCTACTCATAATCTTTTTATGTCATTTGGTAAAATTCTTAAAACTTATTTTTTCTTACACATAATTAATATATTACTTTTGCGATTTAACCTAATTATGGTATACTATTATTATTACCAATACCGTTATATTATCATATCTGTACAATCTACTCGTTTTCTCTTTTTTGTGCCACTTTAGTCATACCGTAACCTATTATAATATTTTACTAACAACTATTTGCTGCTATATTCCTGAAGTTTTATCAATTTTTGTTTTATATACGTAGCTAATAGGTTTTCTTTAACCGAGTTTTGTAGAAATACAATACTACTAGATACAACAAGTGAAAAAAATCTTTTTCTAAGAAGAATAACATACAATAGAACTGAACGTATAGACGAATTCTATAAGACTAAGAAGAAATGTACACTTAGTTAAATTGTTACAGATCCATGCGGGTGAACTTAAAAGAATATGTTTTAGTGAAATATTTCCTAAGACTGTGATAACAAACGCAGCAGGTTGTTTTAGGTATTTAGATTTGAATTATTCTTTTATTACTTGTGATATAACGAATAATTGTGAACGCCTACATAAACGTGCGTGTGCTTAATAATTTTATAATATTAAATGTTCATCCAGTGTAATAACTACATAGAAATATTAAAATGTGTTACGCGCAACCTCAATAAAAATATACTTCTTATTAATATTGTACATTACGTAGAATTATAATTTCTGTAGTTAAGCTAATTAGATTAGACAAAATCGAATGCTGAAAGCCTTATAATAGTTATAATAATATCTTTTAATTGATAGAAGTATCAGTTATCAAGCATATAATACACGATTAAAGAAAAATCTTATTTATTTTTAAAATGCTCTTTAGTGCAGTATACATTTATATTAGCTTCAAAATTGTAGGTTATACATAGAATATTTCATTACGATTAATTATGACGAGCAACATGAGACATAAGGCCCCAAGAATGCAATTCTATTTTTGTGGATGCTAACTAAAAAAAATACGAATAAAGAAAATAGTACCTAATAAATACATATACTTAGAAACAGTTTATATCAAGACAGACGAGTTTATCTGTAAGGAAGATACGAGTGCAGAATGTGCGAAGGCTTAAAGACTGCGCTCTTCAAAATGTTCCACTTCCTCAACTCTCATTTATTGCATTTTTTTAATATTGAATAATCGATTAATCAATGACACCATTAAAAATTCTTTAATATCAATTTTGAAATGAACATCCCGAATCATGTCTATTTCAATTATTTAAACATCTCAATCTCAGAGCCTTGCCTTTTGTTGCACATCGAATAAACACATATCCTACGATTTCGTAGTTTATTAAATACATCAATTCGAATTCTATACCACAGTCTAATGTATTTATTTAAGTTTAATTCAAAACAGCGAATATATGAAATTAATAATTCATTTAAATCCTAATATTATTAGAGGTAACCTTAAAATGTCTCAAAAGTAAGCAACGAACTTTAGTTCGAGACCGTTATAGGGACATTATCAAGCGTTATGAATATAGGTAGACAACAATGGATTTATTGAAAATTTTTAGTAGTCGTAAGCAACCCTCAGACAGTCTAATACAGGCACCTGAAGTAATAATCTACAAGCATATTTGCGAAAAAGATTTTTAACTACATTTTAAATATAATTAAGTGATTGGGACTGGGTATAGTATTCGAATCATTGTAATGGATTTTATGGGTACTTATCATTTGGCGTCGTACATTTCTTTGATGCGGGTCTTTAGTTGTTTCGTGTAGCTATCCAAACGATAGGCATTTTCTTCAAGTCTGGCTACCATGATGTCAATATCATCAATTTGAGAAAGTAGCGGTTTGATGGTGTTGCCATCTATACGAACAAAAAGATTATATTAGTTACCTATTTAAATGGTGCAATTACATAGACCCCATGATTAACTGTTACATACTAAACTTTGTATTATGTTACTTACAGAGATCATTATATTCCATCAGTGTTCGGTTTAAGTTCACAGCGAGATTGCGCAAGTCAGTGTACTTAGTGATGGCCAAACGATTGATTTCTTCCAGCAACATGTAATGATCCTAAAAAGATATACACATATTTTCGGTATAAAAAATATTTTTTTAAAGAAATATTAGATGGAATTGATAATGCTTACACCCCCAGACGCAATTTCTCCTTGCAAGTACTCATTTGTACGTTTAAAGAGAAGAGTAGCCAGTCGACTCAGAGTGGGGTCATGGGGATCGAGTACCTCAAAGCTTGAATGCGTCGGTGATGCGTAGATATCTAAAAACAAAAAACATTATCATTTTCAAAAATAAAACAAAATCATCTGATTTAATTAGTTGCACGATTTAAGACAGGGACAAAAGCACATCTCTGGGAAGAACTTAATAGTATTCCGATGATTTCGGTTGTATCTAGTGTAGATGCTGGCTTTAAGGGACCGTAGATCCGGACTTAAAGGAGTTGCAGCGGTTTTGGGAAGTAGTGTGCCTGAACCATTGAAAATAAAAATAACAAGGTAACAAAATTACCTTGTTATTTTAAATTACCTTGGACACATACAAATAGGGACAGCTTCGTCGAGTTGTCATACTAAGTAGATAACTTAATTTTTTTATTAAGGTATAGCTACTTATATCAATTTACATAACTGAACAAACTGGATTCCAGGTGTGCGATGCTAAGTATTTATTTTATTTAAAACTCGATGCTGCATAGTTTTAAATAAAATAAATACCCAAAACACCTTTTTCACAATTTGAGGTAAGCGCAATACAAATGCAAACACCATCTTGAAAAACGCAGCGGCATCTGTCCCCATACCGGTTCCTTCCCCTTTCTCCTCGCGTACCCGGGACATTATTTATCAGTTTATGTAGAGAAGAACGAGATAGATAGCTAACAAAGTGGAGTGAGGATGGAAGGGGTACCGTGCAAATGCTTACCGAAACAGACTTGGGCGGGATTGAAATATAAAATGCAAACGAAATATTTATCGTAAATGATGTGTTTGTATATTGTACATTTTACAAACACATCATTTAAGATAAATCCGCACGTACGAACACGGAGACAGCGAACACGAACATCAAATCTGAACATTTGGATCGTATGTATGGACCCGATGTTCGAACACGAATATGAATATAGTTCGAGTCGAGTTCGCGCACAAGTCGTGAACTGAGGTACCGGGTAGCTTCGGACATCGTCCATACAGAACATATTATCTACTTAAAGAATCGACGCGACCATGTGTGACGAACAGAATATTCGATGTTCGTCAGTGGTACGCACGTGCGAATCAAGTTGTTGCCATGCAATGGAACTTTGTTCGTACGTGCGTATACGGTTTAAGATATTATAATACGGCCAGGTGAGGTTTTTGTTTTATGAAAAAAAAATACAGAAAATGTACGATAACTGATCACCCTAGCCAACATAGAAGCTAGCGCAGCCTCAGACAGGTAAAGGATAATTGAGTATATAGGATATTAATAAACGATACACGAATGAGATAATCATTGAAGATCGACTGAATGGGAAGCACACTGGCTGCACGAAAAAATCTAAATTAAATTGCCGTATTAAGCTTGTCCATGTTATCTCTTACTCCTGATTTTTTATTGCTCAAGTACTGAAGCAGATAAGACTATCATAAGCCGTTGATGATGATGAAAATCCGACACAATACAAACCAATTTTTTATGAGCTAAGAAGTAGGTAAACGATCACCATTAAGTGATTACCGCCATCCATCTATTTACATCCAAACACCACACAAGTTACAAGTGCGTTGCCGAATTTTTAGGAGCGTAGCTCTGGTAATCACACTTACATGGCGAAACACAGCGGAAGGATTAACAAAATGCAATATGCATAATAGTTCAACTATTTGGTAGTTCTACCAGGAATGTTTTCCGGGAGAAAAAAAAACTGTATTTGGCCGCCATTTTTCCGAGATGTCGGCGCGAGAGGCGCATGTACGAGAGTGAAAAATGAAAATCGGAAAGAGAGCATCAAAATCTACAATATTGCCAATTTTCGATACTTCAGGAAAACATTCCAGGCAACCCCCCTATTTCCTCCTTAATTATCGAACTATAAAAAATAATTGCATTTAAAATTAAAGCAAAATACAATCGACAAACCACAATTAAACTCTATCGTAAACAAAATATCAACTTCTTGTACCCTTGATACTATTTGGAATCTTATTAGAAGTCAGTGATGTATAATATCGAAATAGGGATGAGGAGGTGGGCATAACTCCACCTAGCCCCTCCCCCCACCCCCTCTGCTAACGTTGCATCGGATCAATAACATGCAATGGCGCAGCAGTAGCATCGCCATTTTGTTTTCCTAAAATGGAGTATAAAAGGCGTGTTCATGACGCCTTTAATGCTCCAAAAGGTAAAGCAGATAAATAAATGAAATAAAACATCTTAACGCAATACATAAAAAATAAACATATTTAAATAATATGGCTTAGAATGCGTAATCAAGGGAGTGATTGTTCATATCATTTATACAATAGGACTTAAATCTTACCATCGTAGTTCGCATAGTCGTTATAGTCATATTCGTATTCACTATCATATTCGTTTTCGTTTACAACACCATTCTCTCGAGCTTCTCTTGCTTGTTGCGCCTGCTGAAGCTCAATGAGTCGAATATTCACGCAAACGTCGCAATCGGCGTAAAACACGAATGGGGAACGCATGATTAGACGATTTTAAATAACTTTTCAAATGGATAACGTTCTGTACGAATAATTATTTCATTATTTGGACTCGTCACACAGCGTACCGACTAACTAGCGGACCCGGCGGCAACTGGGCGAGACGAGGGGTTCGAGCTAGACGCAATTATCGAGGGGTCGATATGACGCATGCGCGTTTAGCTCCGTCTGGTTTTAAATGAATAGAAGGGTCAACTCAATGTCATACACAAAGTATAACCTTAAGACGTGGGGCTTTATTTTATGACATTTAAAAACATTTTAATCCACACATTAATAGTCAACTGCCTAGTTGGCGATGTGTTCGCAAGTGCGACTTCCGGGCCGGAGTCTCGGGTTCGATCCCAGATCGGGTATTCCAAAGTATTACTGGGTTCTCACTTATAGCACGAAGTCTGGAATCGTGTCCGGTATATGGCAATAGGTTGACGTGGGATTCAGAATATGAATAGTGAAAAGTGAACGTTACATTGTATAGTGCCATTTTTTTTTTTTTTTTTTTTTTTAAGGGGGGAAAATCATCGAATGACTGCCCCCGCCTGGGTGAGGCGGGAGGGAGTGTCAGACTCTTACTGACTAAAAACCACCCCGTTCCTTCTCCTGCACGTCGAGCCGGAGCCCCGGTTACCCGTTAGGTTCTCCGCGACTTCGAATCGGCATCGGCCCTATTGGGCCCCATCTGTGGTGGTCTGATGGCTCTTTGAGGCGCGCGCGGAACGCGACGCGCCGCACGCTCGGGTCTGTTTCTGGTCGGACGGGGAGCCACCCATGCTCGCCGTCCGCAGGCCCGCGCTTACGGTGGCCGGAGATCGTCCCGCGATCCCCGACGCCCGGTGTGTCCTTCGCGATGGCTGGGTTGCGAGGAGGCAGCGCTTCGCTGCCTCACGCGTCCCGCCTCCTCCTTAGCTAGCATGACTGCTTCGCAAAAGGAGGAGACGGCATCCCAATCCCCCTCGCTCCGCATCATGGCCTGCACTAGGCCCGGACGCGAGAGGTCGCCATCGCCGATCACTTCCCTGAGGACACGGCGGTGCTCAGCCCACGAAGGGCATTCTCCCACCGTGTGTTCCACCGTGTCCTCAGGGCGGTTGTATAGTGCCATTAAGATCCGTAATGTGCACCTTTGCCTACCCCATCGGGAATAAAATGCGTGATTTTATGTTATTAATGGTCAGTCAATGGCTAAGCTCCCGAATCCCGAATCCTCCACAATTCTCAAATTCCCAATTCACAAAAAGCCGGTAACGCAATTGTAAAGCCTTGGTATTCCAGGTGTCCATGGGCGACGGCGATTGCTTACCATCAGATGATTCGTCTGCTCGTTTATCGGCTTATGCCGTGCAAAAAAAATAATACTTATCAAACATCAAAAAATATAAGATACCACACACAACTATAATAGACTGGATCAAGCAAACGTGAGACTAAATAAAAGACACTAGAGGTAGGTAGGCCATCAGAAATCGACCCCCAAAGATGAAAAATGACTAGCTGCCAGCCAACATATTACCTCTATAATGGAAAAATATGGCTTCGGACTCTCTTCAAAGGAACTGGGATCATAATAACCAAGAACGTTACCATAAAGCTGAATACACCGTGACAGGACTGAACTTCTGTATATCTTAATAAAAATAAATATACAAACAACAAGAAATAAGAACATTGTTACGATTTCTAACAAACTAACAATCAGTAGTTTGACTGTAATAGTTTAACTAGAGAGCTTTTAGTTTCCGCATTAAGTGATATCGAGCAACAAAACATTTTTTTGCATTTGATAAAAATTTCAACTATCGTGGTGATATTGGTGACACTTGTCAGAAAATGGAGGGCCTGTATTTTAGTAGATCGTTAATATAAAAATTTGAAAAATACAAAACGTTAAACAGATAAGAAATTGCGAGATTAATGTTATTTTAAAGTATAGATTAGTTTTTTGTAAGTAGCATTTAAAGAAATAGCTAATCGCGGAATGTCAAGGAAACCATATAACATGCGTAAGTATATCATGATATATTCGATATTATATCCAATGACTTCTAGTGGGTATATTAATATTTTATAAGTATTTCTCCATGACGATTTTACTCTATCTACTGATATAAAGAAGGACATGATTCAAAACGTCGATGTCTAATCATGACCTGAACAGAGCCGCGGACGCCTAACTGGTTGCCGGGCTCCGGCTCGAAGAGCAGGAGTATGAACGGGGGTGATTATTAGTCAGTAACGATCTGACACTCCCTCTAGCCTAATCCAAGGCGGGAGAAGTCATTGGATGATTATCCCCCTCAAAAAAAAAGTCCTGAATCAGAATCGGCAAATGACTATTTTAGAGATTATTCTTCCCTTCGGTAAACCAATTTATTTTGAAATTACCACTAAAAGTAAAATATTTTAATAACAAAAAATTTGAAAATAATCTGTTCTACAACCCCATACGAGATTGTGGTCTAATTACAAATCACCCTCTATAAAAATGAATTCCTATAGCCCTTGGTCCTATAGCTGAACAAAACCTCAAAAATAACCTATAATCATAATATGAAAATAAAGACTTACTGGAATCGACATTAACTTGGTAATTAAAGAGTACAAATGCGGGTAGTTCAAACTATCCAGTTATGGTTTCACATATCGACAAAGTCTTGCCTTACAAAATGCTTGCTTTTTTGCAAATGTAATCTTATGCAATTTCGAAGTGTTTTCAACAAAAAATAATTGGGTTTGTTGGTGTGATAACTGTTTTCTTTTATAACTTACGTGTATAGGCATTATATTTCATACATATTAAATGTAAGTTTTAATAAAGAACACGTAATCATGCAATAACCCTGTAATACTGTACATAGTTACTGTACATACTCGAGATAGTTTACCATAATCCCAACGAGTAAGGGTCCCAAAATCGAACATTTGAAATTGCTAAATTAACTATGTACCTACAGTATTTATTTATTTAATAAATAAATTTGATTCATAGATTTAGGTGTACTTTTTGATTCAAGACTTAATTTCCATGACCAATGAAAGCACTTGCAGCCGACTCATATCGCAGACTTGATTTTGTTATACGCAACATGCGAGACTTTAGCAATCCCCTGGCGATCAAACTCATTTTCATGGCACACGTTAGATCCAAGCTCGAATCATCTGGTACCCCTATGAAAGTGCCTACGCCTTGCTTCTGGAGAGTCCAAAATATATTTCTTAGATTCTTTTACAGAAAACGGTTTTGCTACTACCCTTATCTATACCCAACTAAATTCTTATTAGGCATGCTGAATTTCCAATCTCTTGAAGTAAGACGTAATTATAGCCTCCTTATATTTGCCTGCCAAGTTCTGCGCGGTAATTCCGACTGCCCACAAAAAGTAGCGCAGGTGGTAAGACTGTTTATCCCTGATGTACCAAGGTACCAACTAAGGCCCCGCAGCCACTGCTTACTGGCCGTGCCTAGCACCCGCACTATATCACACGCTCATCCGCCACTTGTTCGTGCCCTCACACTGATAAATAATCTTCTGGCATCAACACCAGAGTTTGATATATTTGCGTCAAGATGGAGGACTGTGTGCAAAGAATGCATGAAGTTGTGCGAGTATATGAATGCATAAGTGTATTTTATTTTATGTTGTGTTGTAAATGTATTATTTATTTTATATTGTATATTTTGTTTATTGGTATTAAAACCTGTCATAGTTTGTAAGGTTTTCTTATTGTTTGTTTTATTTAAGGACTTTTCTGTGTTTCTTTTTTTATTTTTATAATTATTTGAAATCTATTGGTTTTATTACTGTAATGTTATACTATTTAATTGAAATAAATAAATAACTTTTTGATCTGTAGGTAATAAGATATCAATTTAATGTTGATTGGGGGCAACTTTGGACCCCAACTCAAAAGTCTGATGCAGTCGTATGATGAAACTGTCGTTTTTATAAATGATCTTTAATAACTTATCGAATAATGTAAGTCACTATCTGCGATGTGATTTTCCTTTGTTTTTTTTTTTGTAGAGATGCATCAAATTTACTATATATGGCGATATAAGATCTCATGATAGTGTGTCTGCCGTAATGACTTTTATAAGACTCTTTTACACCTTCCTAGAGGAGTGTAATGAAGAAGTAGATCGTCAGCTTATGTCATTCGTTAAAGGAAAATGTGAGAAAAATAAGTCGCAACCTTAGCTTGTGGTCACGCTTCAGCTGCAGAGAGATGATATAAATTCCTCGAATTATAGTTACTAAAATATGATTATGTAAAACTTTTATAATTGTTTTTTATCTTATTTGATTAAACAAGAAGTATGTCGTAAATTCTAATCAGGTATTAGGTTTTGTCAGGTGAGAAGGTACTGGGACAGAAAAAAAAATAGAAAATTTATGAATCCATAATTAAGAAAACTTAGCATTACATTAACACAACTGACATTTGACATAGGATTGACAGAATGCGTGCTGCAAAATCAACAGAGCTTCAGAGGTGGGTAAGCGGTGAGGTAAGTGTGGAAGAGCCATGCTTCGGCACGAATGGGCCGGCTCGACAGGAGTGATACCAAGGCCTCACAGAAAACAGACGTGAAACAACGCTTGCGTTGTGTTTCGTCGTGTGAGTGAGGTTACCGGAGGCCCAATTACCCCCTTTCCCAATCTTCCCAATCCCCGAATCCCCCACAATCCTCAAGACTCCTAATTCCCTAAAGGCCGGTAACACATTTGTAACGCCTCTGGTGTTCTAGGTGTCCATGGGCGACGCCGATTACTTAACATCAGGTGATCCGTCTGCCCGTTTACCGGCCTATCTCATAAAAAAAGGAAGATGTTAAAAAAAACTGAATATGAAATGCTTCGATCGAATCTATTTTATTGATAGAAAATACATGTAAAATAATTAATTTAGTCTTTCCCACCACCCGACACGATTAGTTTAGAGCCATTACGCCTAATATTGCAAGTTCAATTTAATATGAAGTT